TGTTGTCTCTTACGATGTTGTCTCGCTAACAACTAGAGAGGATTGTCGAACATGTCATTCATAGTGCAGAGAATAGTGAGTGATGTTCGCAGTCAATAGAGTAAGGTACAATCTTGCTAAAGTGCTCTCTTTTGTTGTTGTGGTTCGCAATTTTCGGAACTTCCGCAGAGCCTCATTTCGGAACTTCTGCAGCACGTTTGCGGAACTTCCGCAGGTGACCCAGCGGAACTTCCTTGAACGTGCTGCGGAAGTTCCAGCCTGTCTGAGCGGCTGCTTTTTCAGATTGATGGCAAAGGTTTCCTGATCATAAACCGCGACATCGTTTCCGCTGACATAGAGTCTTTCGAGTACACTCCCAAAGAAGAATACAAAGGACTATTTCGCATTTTCAATGAAGCAGACGAGGAAGCAACGATTAGAAGGTAACTCACAAAAGTTATTGCGAGCAAGGTTATCATGGAGTGCTAGTGTGCTTTTGTAGGTTTTTACAACACATCCTTGAAGTGAAGCCAAATGTGATTGTAACTTATAACGGAGACTTCTTCGATTGGTAAGTGTAAAGCCTGAGCTTTTTCTTTCGAAGCAAATGACTAAACATACCATATCTCAGGCCTTTTGTCGAAGCAAGAGCTCGCATACGTGGTATAGATATGGAGGATGAGATTGGCTTTGCAAAAGATTCAGCGGATGAGTACAAAAGCAGAAATTGTATACACATGGATGCCTTCAGGTAAACCCTCTTAGAAAGTGGTGGCTTATCTATTTTGCACATTTGGACGCTTTAGATGGGTTAAGCGAGACTCGTATCTTCCTGTTGGTAGTCAGAATTTGAAAGCTGTCGCCAAAGCTAAGTTGCGCTACGATCCCGTTGAAGTGGATCCAGAAGAAATGTGTAAAATGGCTAGGGAAGATCCGCAGGTAAACGCACTCAAGCAGTCAACCGTTTCCCTCATTTTTTGAAGCATCGCATGTTTGTTGCAGAGTCTTGCGAATTATTCGGTTTCTGATGCTGTTGCGACCTACTATCTCTACATGAAGTATGTCCACCCATTCGTTTTCGCGTTGTGTACGATCATTCCATTGGGACCAGATGATGTGAGTGCTCAGTCTTGTAAATATCATAACTTTGATAATAAGGACCCATTTGTTTTTCCACTTTGTTTGCTAATTTTTTTAGTTTTCTCTGCTCGATTACTTCATCACTTATAAATCATAATTTGTTCATCTTCCAGCAACTTAGGAAGAGACTGAAGTCTCAAAAGTATAACAGAAGGCTCTTTCTACGCTTTCGCATACTGATTCTGATAACAAGATGTCATGCCTAGGTCCTCCGCAAGGGCTCAGGAACTCTATGTGAAGCGTTGCTTATGGTGGAAGCTTTTCATAACAATATCATCTTCCCAAACAAGTTCACTGGAGATGGAGAGGCCAAAATGACAAAGGATGGACATCGGTAAGCCTTGTAATAGACATCTATGCCGTTGATTAACGACTGTTTCTACAGTGTTGAGTCCGAGACCTACGTTGGCGGGCATGTTGAGGCCCTGGAAGCAGGTGTTTTCCGCGCAGATATTCCATGCAAGTAAGTAAAGTCTGTTTGTCGCGATTATCGCTTACGGAAGAGTTTTAGGTTCCGGCTCTCACCTGCCGCTTTGAAAACTCTAAGAGACTCTGTACCTGACACTATCGAAAAGGAACTGATCCGAGAGTTTGGCATTCCACTTGAAAATGTAGTAGACTTTGAGGAGAGGGTAAGTGTAACGTCTACTATAGATTATGAATCTTCTTTTTTTCTAAATCATCTTGCTTATAGTGTGCCGAGATTCAAGAGGTATTTGACCATCTGCTGGCCATTCCAGCTAGGTTTGTGCAAAGCACTATTTGCACTCACTACTTTTATGACTGAAATTTTCCAGAATGGAAAACCCGCGAATCTACCATTTGGATGTTGGAGCAATGTATCCGAATATCATCCTCACCAATC